GCAATTCGCCACCTGCGCTCATTTACTTCCAGTATACTTCTTTTATATTACGCATCGATACAAACAGTTGAACTAAATTAATTTAAATGCAACTCTCTCCTACATGTTTACTCAGGGAATTTCCAGCTGGGCTCAAAACCGGCTTTGGTTTGAAATGGCACTTGCGTCCATCTTAATGGTCGCTGTTGTCGTTGAAAGCTTGGGAAAACAGGAACGGCTCAATTTCCTGGGTAAAAAGCCTCATTGAAATGTTTCATTAACATAAAGTGCTCGTTTAAAGCAGGGCCTCGCCCTGTGCGCCTTTCAGGCCAGCTTTCAGTCAGTGCGTTAGAAGTCATTGTGTTCACATACTAAACCTTTCACAAAGACACAATGCCGAGCGTGTACTTCAAACGCTAGCGATTAATGTTAATGACCATTAGATGGAGTGGACGCACATTTCGCTGCAAATAAAATGCAAAAGTGAGCGTTTTCCCGTTTCGACGCTAAAATAGGCAGGTCTTCTGTTGCTTTCCTAGCTGTTCAGTGGTAAAAAGAGGCTGTTTTCTCTAAATGGAAGGTGAGAATTACGTATGTATAATTGAACACTAAAGGATCACCTGCCATTAAAGTTAAATTAGGTGTTACTGCTGCAGTTGTTTGCTGTTTCTATACAATCTCACCTTAAAAGTATATTGATTGTTGTTTATGCACATTTAATTCCAGACATGAAAACATGCTAGGAGACAATTATGCTCAAAAGGTTATCACTGGTGTGGTTCAAGTGGAAGAAGTTTGCACCCGAACGGGTCCATTTACCCTATAGGTACGTTAAACACATTACATTAAAAACTTACTAGTAAAATGTTTTTTTTTTCTATTTAAAAACAATACAATAGTGAAAAATTACTTCACCCACATCCAAGTGTATCTTTTCTTGCAAAGCTGTGAGTTGGACTCTTGAAAAATAATAGTTTGCATTGGCCAAAACTGATTAGTTGAAGGAACACTGGTGACGGACATTTCGCTGCAAATAAAATGCAAAAGTGAGCGTTTTCCCGTTTCGAGGCTAAAATAGGCAGGTCTTCTTCGGTCAGCAGAGGGTTCGGCTTGGTTGTGGCCCAAGTCCTGAAATGCACCCTTTCTACTTTCACTTATTTTTAAGCTATTTTTCTGTTTTTTTTTTTATATCACTCAATCTTCTTTTCTAAGTTTATCTCAACATTTTAAGTGATTCGTTTTTTAAATGAATTTACAACTAAAAATATATTTTTTTATTTTTTATTTTTTATAAATTTGACTGCTGCCCTGCTCCATGATTGGGGGTAGTGGATATTTTATTTTATAATATTATAATTACATAACATTACGTTATTATAATTTTAATATTTTTAGATTTATTGTATATTACATAATATTTAATGATGTAAAATTTGTACTTGTTTGACTCTAACTATAAGAATTATGATAGAAAATTATGTTATATATGGTTTACAGTTATAATTTACACTTGGGGGCCCTCAGATGTCCTGGGGCTGCTTATCTTGCTCATTGGTTAAATTCGCCCCTGCCTTTAAATTGGATCAAAGTTTTTTTTTTTTCCTATTAAAATTGTCCTATGACAAGAATGAGTGATATTCCATGGTTTTAGGACAACTTTTGATAAAAGGTTTTGATCCACTTCAAATGTTGACTACTGTATATTCCAAAGTAGGTTTAAAACATCTGTACACTAAAAAGCAAAATTAGATGAAATAGATGCACACTTCACTTCACACAGGTATCATTACGCCACAAAGTGTGATAATAATGCAAAATGGGCTCCACATATGGAAAATACTCAACTATCAAAACTTTTAAGTTACAAAAGAAGGTGCTTTTTTTTTAACAAAAAAGTTGCAATCTGCAACTAGCTACGTATGTTAGCTTTGTTGGTTTGACCTAAACTGTGATAACGCCCTAAATCACATTTTTGTGTGTCTTGTTTAGGGTTTGTATTGCATCTGTCTCTGCATGAAATTGTATTTTCTATATTCTAAAACATATTGTACTTTTTTTTTTTTACTTTAAACTATTTACAGTGTGATCCTTGTTGAGTTTTGTATAAATTTACGTAAGTACAAGGCAGATAACAAAAATGTTATTTATATAAAATTTGATTATACAGAACTAAGAATTTAGTGATATCAGAACAATACAAAAATCAAGATGCTTCAACAGCCTGCACACATGAGAACTTGTATGTTAAATTTACTGTACAAAGGACATTTTTGAGCATTTATTTCTTATTCCCTCACACATAAGCTAAATGTCTGTATGGAAAGCGGCTTCCAAACAGAGAGACACACATTATTGTTTATGTTAAGGATTTTACCTGTTTGTGCATGATTATTAACCAATTTCATCCCTTGATCCATGGCTTTAAATCCATGTTTTGAGAATAAGGGAGCCGCTGTGACCTCAGGAGTGTTAGATAAGAGGATGATGTGAGACGCTGTGCTAATACTAGCATCGGGGGGCTCGCAGAGGCCCAGAAGGAGGCTTGTGGGGGTGAGAGATGACTAATTGGGACGGTGAGCTCTCCTCCCCTTTCCCTGCTGCTTCTGTCCTGTGGCTTTTCCCAGGGTCCCCCATCGCTGCTGGACATCATGGCCCACTGCGAGATTACACATCACAGAAAGTCTGCATGTACGTAAACAAACACTCACACTCATGTTTATTACCGTATGCCTGAAGTCAGAGGTATTAAAGAGGGGGAGAGATGAGAGGGGAGTGGATGGTTTTCTGCATGTTCATTTTTCTGTTTTATTGCTCTTTATCTGTATTGTACATGTCACAGAGGGCTGCTAGGAGTACCTGTTCAAAGAGGATTCAGGATTAAGGAAAGGGGTCTCCATGACAGTGCTCTGAGAATAGGCTATATTCGCTTAGAAAGAGAGTAATCTGAAATGGAAACCCGAGGGCTAAAAATGAGAGCTGAATGATGAAATTGTTATGCAAACTCTCATAAATACATGTTTTTATTTTATAATTATAAATATGAAATATCTTTTAAAAGAATATTTTTCATATTAAATATATCTTATAATATATGTGAAATATTTGAATTCACTGGAGAGCTATTAACAGTGAATTCAAATATTTCACAAATGGTGTTTAACACAGAGCATTGAATTTTTCACATTATTTCTTATAATATTATTTATCTTTGGAGAAAGTATTGTTTATTTTATTTCTCCTAAAAGCTGTTTTTAAGGTCAATGTAATATATAATATATTTTAAGGTCAATTATAATTTATTTTTGTGTTATAATAAAAATATTAGAATTTTTCTTTTAACTTGTAATTTCCTCATATTTTTTTTTCGTAGTTACTGGTAATTGAAAATTTCTAATACAGAATGCAATGAAAAAACAATTACACCAATGAACAAAGTCAATAATTATTTTGACAATTTTCCTGTACCCAAACATTATTAAAATGCTAACATTCTAGTAAACTGAAACTGTCAGTCCAGTTTTCAGATTTAAAGTTCAATTTAGTTCAGTTCAGTGTGGTAATTTTCACTGCTGAAAGTCCAAACATTGAAGAACAAATCCATCGATGCGCAGCCCTACAACAGGACAAACTACATGTGAGTTTTTGAAGAAGCAAAAATTAGTTACTGTAGTATTTTCCTGTAAAAATGCACTCCTGTAACTCCTTTTTACTGCATACAGGGTAAAACAGGCAGATTGTTTTTATATCTTTGATGATTTGATTGTTATTTTAATGTTGAAACATTATTCCTTGAACACATCTCTTTTTTGTGTTCTTGTCTTCAGGGCTTAACTGGATTAAGAGTGTGGAACAGAAACATTGTGACGAGTTTGTTAACTAGTAATCACTGTGTTCTTAGAGCAGGATTACTAATCCATCTTTATCAAGACTATTAGGCCAGCCACTGCACAAAGCCGCCATGCTAACGGGCTTTAGCATGTCTTAGTCTGCTGTAGAGCAGAGACAACAAGAAGACACAACCATGTCTAAAAGGCTCTGTCTACAACAGAGAGACACACTATACCTGGCTCCAGCAGCTGCCCTTGGAACTCAGATAAGCTCTTTTTTGTTTCATACGACTTTATTTTATTTTTTTTTTTGTCACATCAGCAAAGTGCAGCACAATTCCAAATCTAATTGTGTCCATTATTTGACTCTTGGAGTTCTCCTGAGAGTTTTTTCTTCTTCCTCTTTTTTGAACCTTATAAAACCCTCGTTTTGTGCTATATGGCTTATTTCCACTATTTGTATTACAATTCTGATTTTGAATATGATAAATAAGTTTTTTTTTTTTTTTTTTTTTTTACATTGTATAGAGTTCATTTCAGTTTGGTTCATTTGCTCATGATTTTTCCATATGGATAAGTGTAGATTCAATGAAATAATGAAATATTGATTTGTGTTAAAATGTCAAATATGAAAAATCGTATGAAAAAGTCATGATACTCAAAAATTAGCTACTGTGGATGAATTTTCTTATAATTGATGTAACATCAGTCATACCATTTTATTACTTATATAATTAATGTTATTAATGAATTTTAAGTCATAATTAATTTTATTAAATACATTTTAGATTAGATCCTGTTTCAAACTCAATTCCTGGAGGGCTGCAGCTCTGCACGATTTTGCTCCAACCCTATCAAGCACAACTGATCCAGCTAATCAAGGTGTTCAATAGAGTCATGAACACCTTTATTAGTTGATTCAAAAACTGTAGAGCTGCAGCCCTCCAGGAATTGAGTTTGGGACCTATGGATTATAGAGACTATAACCAATAATGTATAATTTTGCTATATTTTACTTATTATTTTATATATTATTTTTTATTTTTATAATTGCTAAGTTTTGATTTATGTTGTATACTTGGCATATGCAAGTATTCATAAATACCATAAATTGCTTATCAAATTTAATGTACAGTATTATTTTAAACGTAATAGTCATTTAATTGTGAATTTCAGAGACATAAAAATATGAATTTGATTTTAAAAATATATGTCCTTTATTTCATCTATATTCAAACATTTTGACAAAAAACAAAGATACCCTTATAAGAGCAATGGCGTGTGTAAGTGACGCCTTAAATATATTTCTATTAATTAAATATTTGTACAAATAGAGAGGAGTAACAATCTGGGGAAAATCATGGAAAAGTATGTACAAAAACACAATGTGAGAAAGTCTCAGTCTTGCAGTGAATCGTCAATGTCAATGTCTACATCAGACTCTTCTGTGAAATCCCTCTCCTCATCCTCTCTGCCCTGGGATCCAGGGCTTTTTGGTGGAACGGTCAGTCCCAGTTTGGCAAGTTTGGCTTGTTGTTGCTCAAGACTCTGCTTTCTCCATTTGATGCGCCTGTTCTGGAACCAGACTTTAACCTGGAGGTAGAAAAAATAAAATACAGGGTTAAATGTCTGATCTTTAGAGATCTTTAGAGACTAGAACATTTTTGTCTTGTTTTTGGTCCAAATATTTAAAAATGCTTTGAATTGTTATCTGTTCCAAACTTTAAGATAAAGTCATTTGGTGGCAGAGCTTTTAGTTGTACAGCACTAAAGTTATGGAACTCTTTATATGTTTAAAAGTTATGAAACGCCTTTGCAGATTTGCCAGGTAGACACTAGTTCCAATTTTAAGTGTCAGATAAAAACTTTTTTGTTCAGTATAGCTTTTAATGATTTGCTGGTTCATGTCGATTGCTTTTTACTGCTTGTATTTTTTTATGATGTGCTTGTGATATGCTGTAAGGTGTCCTTGAGTCCTTTGAAAGGTGCTTATAAAGGAAACATATTATTATTATTATTATTATTATTATTATTAATAAAATTATTATTAATAATAATAATAGTAATAGTAATAGTAATAGTAATAATAATAATAATAATAATAATAATAATAATAATAATAATAATAATAATACAAAATCAAAAAGCATATTCAATACAAGTTTAAAATATTGTTTTGTTTTAAAAATAGGTCAAAATAATACATTTTTTGGGGAATAAGAAAAATAAGGGAGCTATTCCTTACAACAGGCAAACTAATATGCCAGTGGGGTGAATAACATAATCTTGTTTTTGGTTTGTTACAATTATTTTACTTTGACCAATGGCATTGTATTTTGTTAGTTTTAAGGAAAACTTACCTTATTTTGACGATTTATTTCTTATAACAAAACGATGTTATACTTGCTTCTTTTTAGTTTTGTACATATTTGGAATTAAACCGAAAGCAAAAGTCAATCTAAAATTTTGTCATACCATGTAATTTATTTACCTGAGCTTCAGTGAGTTGGAGAGCAGATGCCAACAGAAAGCGTTCAGATCCCACCATGTATTGCTGCCGCGCGAACTCTTTCTCCAGTCTGGACAGCTGATCGTTGGTAAAACTTGTACGCATTCGCTTTGATTTCCCAGATTTGTGTTTATAATGAGAATGAACTGCTGCTTTCGCCAGTACTGCATCTGTGGGTGCGAAAAACAAAAGAACGCATTGGTTAGGAAATCATATTTGAAGTATCATTAAAATAATTTCTATTCTTAGCTACATTCATTAAAACCTAGCCTTTATACCTTGTGCGTACACAGCTCCACGACATGTTGTTTGGAAGTTGTAGGGCGGATAGCAGAACACGGGATAGCCTGTCTGAGTTTGCATGATGCTTTGGCTGTACGCGAAGTGTGGCATCTGCGAGTAAATAAGCGGGAGCGCAGAGCTGGAGACAGACGTTTGGTTGGTTATGCTCCGGTACGCGTTTGTTCGTTCTCTCATCTCCGCCTGGTCAGGCCTCGCGAGCAGAGCGTCTATGGTGAATGATTTCCCGGTGCTCGGTTTTGAAGAAGAGGTGGCATAGTCCTGATGCAAAGGACGTGCTGATTGTCCATAAGTTTCGTAAGCTCTTCCGGGAATCTGCATGGCGTCTGTTTAGTCCAAAAAGCAACTAAAAAAAAAAAAAGATATCCTTCGAAGTTCTCGACCCTAATATCAGGAGTGGAATGAAGTTGGTGAGGCAGCGGGTCTTTTATACCTGCTCTAGGGCGCGAGGTGTGAACGACCCCCAGCGCGCCTTTGTATTTTTAAGTGGCAGATGAGTCAAACGAGCGGCTCTACAAGGGATCCAATTAACTGATGGAGTTGTAACAAGCTGAGATTGTCAAATATCCTAATGGCCCTCTGCGCTACATGCCCCCGGAGGTAGTCCAGAAACACAGAGAGGGGTCAAGAGCCGAGAGCCAGGAGGTCCAGATTTACTACAAATTCCTACATGGCTGTGCGCCACAGAAGCGGCCTGTGTGAGGGCATTGATGTTACACAAATCATCTTATTTCGGTTATTCAAAGGGCACCGCCGAATGCGACACACAGCGGAACAAATATAGAGGTCAAAGAAAAGGGAGAAAACCACTAATCACATTATGAGTACATCTCTATGAAAGCCCGTTGCCAGTCTTTAAGACTCCAGATAGTCAAATCAATCTCGGATTCGTGTTTTAGTGAAATAATTCATACTTTAGGCAAATCAGAGAACTTTTTAATCGATTACAATTTAAGCTGTCATTAGTTCTACACTTATATTATTAAAATATTTTTTATATGTAAATAATATAACACACATTAATTAATTTATAATAATGGTAATAATAATAATAATAATAATAATAATAATAATAATAATAATAATAACAACATACAAAACATCCGTAATACATCCATAATACATCCGTAATACATTTAATACATCCGTATTAAATGTTCTTGGAATAATCGACGTATGTAACCACTAATTAATGGGATTATTTAGTAGGCAACTGATGAATACAAACGAGACGAGCTGAAACTCAGGCCAATGGTATAAATGATGGTGATAAATTAAATGGATTGAAACTAAGATGTTGTTATCCCATGATGAAAAGAGTAGTGCAGACTACGGTAGCCTTACACCTAAGTGTTGTGGATAATGTTAGAATTTGCTTCCAGTTTCAGTCCTGAGGTGTCAAATGAAAGTAGGTATAATAGTGAGATGTCTTACACTATGGTTCATGTAAACACGTTGATCAGTTCTCCTCCCTCAATCAGGCGCTGGCGTGTATTGCACTCTCTGACAAATGTATTTTGTCAGTTTTGGTGTCGGCCGAAAATTGGAGAGGAGATTTGTCGCACCTGGCCTTCGGGTTTTCTCACTCGGAGTGCGAAGCCTGCTGCTTTTACTCCGTGTCGGACGAGTAGGCTATCTCCGAAGATCGGATAATCTGTTGTAAATTTCCGCTTCTGCAGAAGTCCAAGATAAATTCAAACCTTCAATCGTTTGGTGTCTTTTTTTATTATATTGCTGCATTTTTGATTTTTGAAATAATATTACAATTTATGAAATGCAGTGTCATGATCAATATATCATTGATTAAATATAGCTATTATTATTATTAGCAACCTACGTGACAAACATACAACATTGCAAAGGTCCGTGGTAACAATTTAGTTCTTTGTATCTCATCCAAAATAAAATTTGTTTTGGACATATAACACACATACATTATGTCAAAACCAAATTTTATTTTAAATGATATACAAAAAACTACAAAGTGTTTACCCCGGACCTTTGCCCAGCCCAAGGAATAACTTGCAATTTATATAAATTATATATATATGGAATTCTAATTATTGTAAGATTTTTAAACAATTATTTCTTAATTTTGCATTAACTATTTTTAAGTTCCTGTAATTCAATTTACAATTCTTGGAATATTGCTGGTATTCATATTCAGATACATTTTCTAAAATAGACATATACTGTCTGTACAGATAGACAGTCATGTGAACTTTATTTATTTATTTATTTATTTATTTATTTATTTATTTATTTATTTTTATCTGATTAGGGGTAAATGGCTATAAAGTTGCCTTTTAAACTGTACACGAAGTGCTTATTACTTTTTATTTCACAAATCGCAACATATCTATATGGCTATATTCTAAATTTTTGTCATTATATTTCTATTCCTATTTATATTATATTACATTCCTTCTGCCAAAATATACCAGTTCAACATTAGTCTGGTTTCGTGGTTCAAGTTTTTGCTTAGTCAAAGATTACAGCCAGGGCATTTAAAGTAGCCTAAATATTAATAAACAGTTATATCCATTATGACTATCAAAACAAATAAAAGTATAATCACCTAACTTATTTAGAAATAGAAATATAATTTAAATTCAAAAGAGCATTTTTATATCTTATGTTTCTATTGATGTTTTCTGTTTATTAATTTTATGTAATATTTGTAATATTATCCCCGACATATTAATCTGGACTAATTTGACTAAGATCTTAAGTTTTTTGTTAGATTAGTTACAGTTTTGGGTGAAGCAGTGGCGCAGTAGGTAGTGCTGTCGCCTCACAGCAAGAGTGTGTGTCGCTGGTTCGAGCCTCGGCTTTGTTAACGTTTCTGTGTGGAGTTTGCATGTTCTCCTTGCGTTTCCTTAATTCGGGTGCTTCGGTTTCCCCCACAGTCCAAAGGCATGCGGTACAGGTGAATTGGGTAGGCTAAACTGTCCGTAGTTTATGAGTGTGTGTGTGAATGTGTGTGTGGATGTTTCCCAGAGATGGGTTGCGGCAGGAAGGACATCTGCTGCGTAAAAACTTGCTGGATAAGTTGGCGGTTCATTCCGCTGTGGTGACCCAGGATTAATAAAGGGACTAAGCCGACAAGGAAATAAATGAATGAGGTACAGTTTTGGCTTTGGTACTGACTAATGTATACAGAATTGTATTATGCCTATTCTGAAGCACCCTATAGAAAATCTTGTTTTTGCAGAGACATCTGTGGGGGGTGTCCTCATTTAAGCTGAGCACTTTATATAATTTTTTTGCATTTGTTGTGTATTTTGTCATATGTTGTGTTCCCTGGAACCTGCTACACAATTTCATGTCCTTACAAAAAGCCTGATGTTGAGGAGCAGGAATGGGAGGAAATCACTTATGTAAAGAGGAGAGTTCCATTACTGGCTCTCAATTAGGACATGAAACGGTGCAGATGAAAAGCAGCGGCTTCACTAAAGGAAGTGATTTGCTGCTTTAGAACAAAGACGCGCTCTTTCAATAGAGGATTATAGTCAGCTCTGCAAACTCTACAAGCTCATTGCTAAACACCAGAGCAGTGCAGAGGACGTGGTAAAGCCCAGTTAAACAGTTCTTGCTTTGACTCGCAGTTTCTCATTGCGGCGGCGCACCTGACACACCAATGCGACTAATGAAGAGCGCAAACACGCTCGCGTCCCATCACAGATAGCAGCTTCTCCATGTTTGTTAACACGCTTTTCTCGACGGCCTTGAAAGAAAGGATTCACGCCGAGCGAGGCGGTGTTTACATATTACCGTTTAGTCACATCTGGACAGTAGCGACTGACGCCATTTTGGATCTGCCAAAAATTTATTTTAGGCTATCCTTTTGAGAATTATTATTATTTTTTGGTTTATTGACGTCCATTTCTATAAATGTAGTTCTACTACAGCTATCATGGCAAAGCTATGTTTAGTGTTGCAAAATCATTGTTAATTTAATTGTCGACCATAACCACAAATAAACTGGTTTTGCAAATCTTAGCCTAGCACAGCAGTTATCCGAATGGAAACCAATTCACCAAAACAGGGTTCCATTTTTACTATTACAAAAACATGGTTAATTTTCATAAGTGTTTCCTATAAATTGAGCATATCTTTTTATTGTCGATCCCCAAGTTGTAGGAATTTGGAGAGATGATGTTTTCATTATAGTGTTTGAGCTATTTTATTAAATGTGAGGAAAAAAAAGTTTTATAGTGTATCAGGAATTGAAGAACTGGTTGGCTCAGAAATGACCCACAGTCAAGGCATAGTGCTGGTTTGTGTATTGGAGCCAGACAGAGAATACTGATGGGCTTTTTTGTGTTTGTGGTCCTTTTCATAGTCAAAGTGAAATACATGCCCCTCCCAGCATCCCTTTTTTCTGTCAAACTGAAACTCAACGCACCACCCCGATGTAAACATTGATGAGCAGACTGAGAATTAAAATTGTATTGTTTTAATCTATTTTTTAACACAACTTTTTAACTTATGTATTTTTTTAACTTATGGATAAGGTTAATATTGCAGTTCAAAAAATTGTGTATAAAAAGTTAGTAAACTTTATTCTTTACAAGAAAAATACAACGGTGATTTCCGACTTTACACTTTTAAATTTAGCATTTGATTTATTTTACATTGTGTGCTTCATTTTGCAGATTAAATTTACTAGCGATATTTAGGTGATTTAACTTTAAGTTTCTTCCCTTTTTTAAACAAATATCATCAGGTTGTGTTTACGTTACTAGACTGCGTTATGAGACATTGCCCTCTTAACCCTTGTTTTTTACAATGTACAATAATGTAAATATTACAATTAATATAAATATAATATATGAACATATATTATTTTCTAATGTAAATATTTTACCCCCTAAAAACGTCACAACTTTGCTCTGAAAAGTTTTATTTTAATTTACCTGATTGCACTTATAAAACTTGGCAGTTACAAAGGGGAAACTAAAAAAAAAATATTAGAAATCTCTAACCACTAAGATCAGTCAGTTCCAAAAATAAAACAAAAACTGTCCTAACAAAAAAAAAAAAAAAAAAAAAAGACTGAATAATAAATTTGTTCATAATATAGCATAAGTTGATATTAATAACATAAGCATTATTTATATTTGCATTTCAGGCACACTACAAATGTGAATTTGTTTAATTTTGTTTACAATGAAATTATCCACAAAAAAATTATTTTTTAAATCATGGAGGTGAAAATATTTTAAAAATAAAATAAATATAATACAAGTCCTAAATAACTGAAAATTACACAGAAACAAACCAAATTTGGTTAAAAATGATCTCGTTATATCATATCATAAAGACCCACCATGGACTATAG